CCATTTTGTTTTTGAATGTAGTTGCCATTTCTCTGCAAGAAGAGTAAGTTCTTCTTGTAGTTGGGAGTTAAGATTGTCTACTTGAGTAGAGAGATATGTATTCGTTGAGTTTTTTGCCAGCTTTTTGTTTATTCAAGTAATTTGTTTGTTAAGTGATGAAATTTTGCTTTCTGGTGCTTTTGGCTTTTTGAAAGCTTTTATAATTGACTGGATATATATTTTGCATAAGTCCCAATTATTTGTCTTTTCATTTTCTTGTATTTCTTCTAATATCTCTTTTTTTAATCTCTCATTTAGGAAACAATTTTTGTCGAATTTCCATAATGGTGACTTGCTTGTTTTAAGGTTAAATTTTAATAGGCATTCTACTAGGAGATGGTCTGAATTACTATTTCTTGTATTAATTTCTTGTATCGAGTATATATAATTCTCTTCTATAAAGATGTAGTCGAGATGAGTTACCATTGTTCTATTTCCTCTCATTTTTTGAAAAAAGGTATAGAATAGTTTGTTAGTCGCAAGTTCTAAGGAGTCAATAAAGTTTTTTGTCAGATCTTTAAGCTGAATTCTAGTTAGATCGTGCTGTAATGGAAATTCACTAATTCTATCATTTTCAGGATAAAGATTAGTGTTAAAATCTCCTGCTATAATATTAATAGTATTTTCTTTAACTTGAGGAGACCAGTTGTTAAAGAAAATAGATCTTTCACTTTAACTAGGAGGTGTATAGATATTAGAGAGTTGGAAGGTTAAATCCTTATAACTGAAAGTTGTGATTAAGACTCTGCTATTGGCTTCTGTTTTAGAGTTTTGGAATGTTATATTTTTGTTGCTTGCTAGAATTGCTGTTTTGTTTGACTATATTAAGTCGAAGACCCATTGTTGTTGTAAGAAGATTTGTGTATTCTTGTTATTTAGATTTGTTTCTTGAAGCATAATGATATCTAAGTTATAAGATTTAAGAAGAGTAAGTGTATTTCTTTGTTTCTGTTGATTGTTCAATCCCTTAACGTTAAGGGTAGTGATTTTTAACTTTAAATTGTTAATCATAGAAATTAATATAAGATAAAGTTTTTAGATCTGCATATTCTGGCTCTCATTACGAGTTTTTTTCTTGTAAGGAGCAGTTCGAGTTTCTTCTTGTTTTTGTGCAGATACTTTCTTTTTATCTTTTTTCCTTTTGTTTGTAGCTACTATGTATTCTCCTTCAGTGCGATCAAGTTCTTGAAGCTCATGATTATTGTTATTAATAATAATCATAGGTGAGGTTTTATCTTGTTGTAGTTCTTGGTTATTATTTTCTGCAGAAGTTGCCTCTCGAGTTTCTAGAGTTTTTTCTACATTTGTATTCATAGAAGTTGAAGTTATAGGCTCTACTTCCTCTGTTTCAACAGTCATATTATCATTGTTTCTACTAGCTGTCGAGGCTTCTTTTTGATCTTCTATAGTTTTATCTTTTGAAGTTTCATCTATACTCATCTTTTATGAAGAGGAGGAGGCTGATGCTGATGTAGCATTTTCTTCTATGGAGTTTGAGGTGCGTTCTGAAGTTTTTTCTTTATTCTTATTATTCTGATACTCTTTAAATTGGTGTTTGAGAATCATTGCTTCTTTATATTGCTTACAGTCTCTTTTAACATGACCTTCTTTATTGCAAAAGAAACAGACTTTAGGAGCTGATTTCCATTCTGAAGTAATTTTGTTTTCAAGCAGAATGTAGAAATGAGGGATTCTCTTTTCTAAGTTTGGATCATTAGTAGTATCAAAGATAATGACCTACTAGTCAGTTAGGTAAGGGGTGCCTTCAATTAAGAGTAGTTTAATAGATGCGATTTTTCTCATGTCCTCAAAGGCTTCTTTAATAGCTTCAGAGACTAGCTTCTTATCCAATAAAGGTACATTTCTGATTTTAACTAGAAGAAATGATCTTCTGTTATCTGTAGGAATAGAACCGAGATATGTTTTGTTAAAGATTTCTACACCTTTAACTACATAATCTTGTAATTTTTCTTTGTTAGCAAAGATAATTTCTAGATGAGTATGGATTCCTCTATTAATATGAGGCTTAGCTGTGACTATATCATCTCCTACATTCTCATAGAAAGAGACCATGATATCATTCAAAGAGCAGTTTAAGCTGCTAATATCTAGAACTAAGGCATTATCATTCTTAGATCTAATAGTACTCCTAGGGGAGTATGAAGTAAAAGTAGATTGACCTCTTTTGACCTTAGCGAATAGACTAGACCAAGATTTCTTTTGGTTCCCTTGAAAACTCGGAGCATTTGTAGGAGTTTCCATATGAGGTTCATTGGTTGACATGATACGTGTATTTGTTGTTTTGGTCACGTCTAAATTATTATGCAAAGAATCACATGTTTTTTCTTCGATTGTTTTGTTTTTGTTGTCTCTGTTTTCTTTCGTTTCTTGAAGTAAGTTTGTTTTTTCTCTTTCAAGATCTTGAGTT